GTCCATCTGGAAAAGCTGAAAGCAAGAGAACCTCAGAGGTCAAAAGGGTCAGATACCTTGCTTCCAAGTATTGTTTCATGCATAAGATCATGCCAGCATTCCTGAATGCACAAGTTAAGATGTTTCGAACACTTTGTTTTATATTCATTGATTATTGACTTCAACCTCTGCCATCATTTAGCTTTCTGGAATCACACAATATCATATGTGTCCTACAGACTGATCAATCGCTGAAAATATTGAAAAAGCTTTTTATGCATTGAAAACATAAAAAAGAAGTGAAGGTGCTGAGCAGCCTCCCCACTCCGAAATTATAAAAGTGAGTTAGAACAAAATCAGAACTGCAACAGCTTTCACCAGCTGAGAAGCTGTCCTTACCCAGGTAGAAGCATTTTGTAAAGCCTTGTGGTAAGCTGTGAACAGCTGGCGTCACCACTAATTGTGAGTAATGCCACATTTATTAATATAAAACAAATTGTGACTTCATTAAGTTTGAAAATAAATAAAGTTACTTTCAAGAAGCACCCAAGTTTTACAGGCTCAGTAAAATTCTCTTGGAAACTTCTCTGAGAAAAAAAGCTGAACTTTCTCTGCAGTGAGCAGAAATCCTGAACTTTTGCTAATAGTCAACAGGAATCATTTTTCACTCAAATCAGTTTACTTGTTTCTGTATTGAATGAGCAGTCATACGTAAGGAGGAGCAAGTAGGTATCATGGATCATTGGACTGGCAGTAAATGGCAGGAATCACACAGGCTTAGAAAGGAAGGAGAAGAAGAAAGTTTTTACATTAATTTTTTAGCCTAAAGGGAAGCTTTATATATGGAAAATAAAGAAATTCTGACTTCTGATTTATACTGGAATAAGATGAGAGGAAAACTCAGGCCTGGCTCCAGATGAGTTGCCCATAGAGCATTCCTTGCAGCCTTGCACTCCTACAGACAGGCGATCAGAAATGGCTGTATTACAGGGAACCGACAAGTTCTGAAGTAGATCAGAGATCCTTAGCCTACCTACAAGGAGCAATACAGAAAGGAGAAGAGCTTACAACCCCGTGAGGAAGTGCTTATCCTGCCCTTTGGCCTGGCTGGCAGCCCACACACCAAGTACTTACTGCTATCCCCATGCCTGAGCCAAACTGCTCACATCTCACAGATTTCTCCTGATGGATGATGCAAGGCAGCAACTCTCACTTCTAATAGAGTTTTCTTTATTTACCCAGGCAATAACTTCATTATTTCAGCTATCTCTCATTAGCAATTAACAGCTACCTTTGCAATATATAACTGCCTTCTGCAATGTCTGTATTCCCCCACTGATTAGTTGCACCTAATTTGGTCAAGATGCTTGTTAGATCACTAAGAGCTGTGATAAGGTATGTGTATAGAAACTGGACCATGACAGAATCAGCTTAATTCCTGATGTGATGTTAATATGTGCTATTAATAAGAGGCTGTTTCCCTTCACTATTGTGCTATCTGTCCTAAATAGTTGAGTCCTAATCTCCCAATCAATCATCTTCAAAATTAGTATGCTTTGAGCATCAATCAAATCCATTTGTAGGGGAAGCAGAAAGTATTATTTAGCCAGGAGGCATCATTTTTTTTTAACCTCTCTTTTTTATTTGGCTGGCTGAATTATAGAAAAATTGCAATTCCTGTAAATGCCTATGGCATCACCACAGTTACATTGCAGAGTTCTGCTCTGTCTGGGAAAAGGGCCCAAATCTAGGAAGCTGGCTAAACAAAAGATTGAAGATCTACTAAAGGATCATCTCTGGATAAATGTAACCTTGATTCCTTGGTCAGATGTACACAACTTTAGATTCTATCCTTGAAAAGTCAATGAATTCTGACCAGTGACCACAGGAACACAGAGCCTCAAACACTAGTTTCTAAAATGAAACTACATTAGGAACACTAATTATGAAATATGTCCTATATTCATGTTTTTCAAATTAATATAGCCTAGAAATATTCCCAAGATATTGGAATTTTTGAGTGAATATAAAGCTGTTGAACTTTAAGGGGGAGAGTTTCAAAGGCACAAATGGCACTTTACTTCCAATTATGCCTTGGAAAATGTCCCACTAATGGATAATATAGCTGATTTATTTTCATAAACTTTAATTACTTCACCCTTTTTTTTAACTGAACAGTATTATCAGTTCAACAGAGCAGTTCAAACACAATGCACAAAGTAAAAAGGCAGTTCTGCTCCGATGCCAGGTTTCCATATGCGAGTTTAAAATCCTTATCAACTCTAAGATTTACACTTTTAGACAAGCGTGAATACTTGTATTTATTATGTGCATACAACAGATGTACTAGTTTACATTAAATCTCTTTACTAATATTTTAACTGGAAAAGACTTTATCAATGTTATTTGAATCAGATAATGTGGGATGAAGACCATGTTTTTCTTTTGTCTAGTATAAAGTCAGGGGCTTCTCATATTTTAGCAATACAAGCAGCAAAGATCCAGCTCACAAAGTGTACTGTTGTGGAAACTTTCATTACCAGTACCTGGGAGATCCAACAGAACAGGGCAGTGAGGAAAAATTGTGCAATTCTAGATCTCCTTGCACGCCATTGTGCCCTTGTAGCCTTTGTGCTACAGACGTAGACTGAGATATTTGGTAAGTATTCAGTGTGATTTAGTGGTAGGTTTCTTAGAGCAGGAATCCTTCTATTTATTAATTTATTTATTGAATATAAGAGTCTTAATTAAGGTGTTTTACCTGCCCTGAGGATTTCTGAAAGCCTGCTGGAAAGAGCCTGGCTGCGAGCAGGGTTGGCAGCGCTGCAAGAGCTGCCTACCAAAAAGCAAGAATATATTGCCCTCTAGTGTCGAAAGCAAGCAGAGGCTGCAGAGTCCAAGAAGGGGGTTTACTTATTGCTTCCAATATACCTGCATATCTCATGCTAACAAAACTAAGACTCATCGCAATTAGCTGTTTTATGGACAGATAACGCACTCAGCAAGACTTCCCTTCCCACGGAGGGCAGTCCTCCTGATCTGATAAGCCCTCAGAGTCAGCCTGAGTGACTCATCGACGGCACCAAAGCTGAAACACAGCCTCACAGAGGATGCTTCACTTGTTCCAGTTTTATCTTTTGATAAACTCTTAACTGGCGGTTTAATAGAAAGCAAGATCCCTACAAGCAGACAGCACTGCAGAACAAAGGAAATACCAAAGAGGGGCAAATACTCTTACAATTATCAGAATGTTTTTAATTTCCTAGTGACAGCAGCAATTTCCTTTATATTTCTTCTCTCATACATAAACACAGAACACTTTTCTCACTTCTGTTCACTTCCCACTTCTGTCCACAGACAAACCACCCACCTTTTTCCCAGTTGCTGTGTGACACAGAGCAGGGTCACTGATGGAGTAGCCCTCAGTACAGGGGGATGAATCTCCCAGAAAGCTTCTAACTGAGAAAGGTAAAGCAGATAAAAACCTAAATCTGGCAAAGTCACAAAAGGCTTCAGCAACAACTCCCTCTCTCCAAACTGTGAGAGAAACAACAAGCCTCTCGTGAGCAAGTAGATGTATTAATTCACAGTTACTTCAGCAGCCTGTTCGTTGCTCGATAAGCTCCCAAAAGCGGTATAGTAGTCTAATATAGGCAGAGTGGTATGTAAGGCATTTAAAGCAAAATTAAAAATTTCACATGCATTTTTTTAAATCTTGAACTGACACAATCAAGAGGTTCCTTAGAACTGTACACCAGAGTCATTAAATACACTGCTAGGCCAATTTCTTCAATACCTTTCTTACTAACTTTTTCCAATTTTAGAAATAAAGTTTAAAATGAATGAATAGTTTTCAGAATAAAACTCAGTCCTAATCTAGTTAATGGAGGCAGACACATCAATTGACAAATATGCGCCTGGAAAGAATGTTTCTTCTGTGCAGTTCAAAAGTCATCCATTGTTTACAGTCTCACATTTTTCTAATAACCAAATGAAATCAATAATTCAGAAAGATATCAATTCCTATTTAAATCCATAGAACAGCAAGGGCTATTTATTTAGTTAGTTTTAACTGTCTCTGAGTCATATGGTTTATTGGTAGTTTTGGTAGTTTTTAATGAATTTAGGTAACACTGCCGGGAACACCCTTCAGTTCAGTAGCTTACTGTTCACTTGGAAAACCAACACACATTTTTTATCATTCCAGACCGTCCTTAAATGGACTGTAAATTACCAGTACTCTACGTACAGAATGGAAACTGGAGAGAAAGAAGTCCTTCAAATCTTTTCTCAAAGTCCTCTGGTGTCTTTCACTTTGTCTTCATTAGTTCCACAGTCCAATATGGAATTTGTTACCCCTTTCAAAATACTTACGTAGTATAACTTTGACATGGAACATGGCCCAATATTTAACAAACATTTACTCTGCCCAAATTTTGTCCTACAGACTTCAGTCATTCCCATTTGCAGTAGCAAATAACCATTTTAGATAAGAAATGCCCATAAATGAAGAGATACCTGTCCTCAGAAACCTATGCTTAGACTTTATATTTATACCTTAAGAATATGGGAGAGATGTTTAATGCAGCTTATCTTAATATATCAAGAAAACAAGTGACACTGAGGGCTCCTTGATCTGTGCATAAACTTCCCTCTTAACTCCCATTACCAGTATCAATCACTGTCTTTATTAACATGTGTTTTTAATTGCTTTATGAATTTTATTTTATTTACTCTTCTTTTACTTCTTGTTGCAGATAATGTTAAGTGTCCTCTTCATTGATTATTGGCAGCTGCTGCATTCTGAGAAAACCTCTTTCAATTTAGTTTTCTGGATCCTTTGACTTCCCGCTCCAACAGCTTTATAACCTCCCCAACAGCTTCATAAATGCACTGCAATGGTCACATGAACATCTTGGGAGGGGAATTGGCACCTCTGCATCTCCTTGCTACTATGGTGCTTTAGGAGGAGAGATCCAAAAAAACAGCAAGTCCAACAAAAGTTGGAAGTCCTGCGAAAGATGAACCTAACCGTGAAGCTTCGCAGAAGTTTCAGAACGTTGGTAATTCTCCTGGCAACCTTCTGCTTAGCAAGCATCATCATTTCTGCCTATTACCTCTACACTGGCTACAAGCAGGAAATGGCACTTGTGGAAACCACCAGAGAAGCAGAATGTGAAGATCTCAAGCTTCTACCATACAGGTCCATAGAGCTGAAAACAGCCAAGCCAATTGATCCATCTAAAACTGATCCCACTGTCCTCCTGTTTGTGGAAAGCCAGTACTCCCAGCTGGGGCAAGATATCATAGCCATTCTTGAGTCCAGCAGATTTCAATACCACATGGTCATCGCACCAGCCAAAGGGGACATCCCCCCTCTCACGGACAATGGAAGAGGAAAATACACAATTGTTATATATGAGAATATTTTGAAGTATGTATCCATGGACTCATGGAATAGAGAGCTTCTGGAAAAATACTGTGTGGAATACAGTGTTAGCATAATTGGTTTTCATAAAGCCAATGAGAACAGCTCCCCAAGTACAATACTGAAAGGATTACCATTACATCTGTACAATAATGTAGCCCTCAAAGACTGTGTGGTAAACCCTCAGTCTCCACTGCTGCACATTACCAAAGCACCAAGGATTGAGGAAGGTCCACTGCCTGGTGAAGACTGGACAGTTTTCCAGTTTAACCATTCCACCTACCAACCTGTGCTTTTAACTGAACTGCAGACCTCCAGACCAACCCCTGTAGCATTGCCAAAGGCTGCTCTGTATGCAACAGTCATCCAAGACTTGGGGCTTCATGATGGGATACAAAGAGTCCTTTTTGGAAACAACCTGACCTTCTGGTTGCACAAACTGATCTTTATTGATGCCATCTCTTTCCTGTCAGGGAAGAAGCTCACATTGTCCTTGGATAGGTACATTCTGGTTGACATAGATGACATATTTGTTGGGAAGGAGGGAACGAGGATGAACATCAATGATGTGAAGGTAAGGCAAGAATTGGGGGATACCATCCAAGATCCATGTAAGTGCAAAAGGGTATTTAAAGAGAAAGCATAAGAAAACTGTCAGTCTCCATTTCCCAGTAAAGGTTGAAACTGGTGTAGCAAGCAGATCTAGAAACCTTTTCCTGAGATTACTTTAAAAGTCTGTGTACCCATATGCATACAGAGATGCATTCATGTGGGTGTATATATCTTGTTACGTTGAGATGGCCTCAAACAGTAATGCATATAGTGCATGTACTGGCTACCTCTTGCTCATATAAGGTTCTGCTCAAGGGCTTCACCTTGAGTGCCTGCATAACAAAGGAGACTTTTTATACTTCACATAACAGAGATCTTTTTTTTAAAAAAACTAAATAAAAAGATCTCTGTTTCTGCCCCAAGTTTTTTGCTGAGCTATCTGAACTTTTAGATAATAGCACCTGGTTTAGACTGTATTAATTTGATTTTCCTTATGCTCATAGACATTTAGACATGTAAGCATATAGCATATATATATATAAAATACCATTTATAGGAATTTTCTGTATTCTTTCTTTCACTATTTTTAGAATGTAGACAGAACAATAGAGTCATAGAATACCAGGTTGGAAGGGACCACAAGGATCATGTAGTCCAACCTCTTTAGTTAAAAGTATAGTTTAAATGAGATGAGCCAGCACCCTGTCAAGCTGACTCTTAAAACTGACCAAGGTAGGGGAATTTACCACTTCCCCTGGGAGATTGTTCCAATGTCTGACTGATCTCATGGTAAAAAAATTTCTTCTGGAGTTCAATCAGAATGTCTACAGAAGCAACTTCTGTTGCCTTTTTAAGTACTGCATAACTATCACTATATTTAAAAAGAAAAAGTGCAAAAGGAAAAAAACATGAAAAGTTATAGTCACAGTCTGACTTACAAGAATTAGCAAGACAATTTTTATTAGCAGACTAGTAGACAAGTATTTAAAGTTACCAGTGACAGGATGGAAGCATAGCCTGCACTTTAGCAAATGATGTAACCATCTGATATGGTGAAAAGCTCACAGACTACTCTTGAGGGTCTCTTTTAAACTTATTTTCATAGTCTGAAGTATCCAGAGATGACATTAGATTTGTTCAGAGTAATTTTCAAGGATGTGTGTCACTTGGAAAGTACAGACAGAACTCAGCAGCATGACAGTTATTTCCTTGCAATTTTCCACATGTGGGAATCATTATATTCAGAGATTAATTGAAGTTCCTAAGAATGCAACATCCCAGTCTCATGCCTTTATTCTAGAGGTTTTTTTCCTGTGAATAACCTAATGCTTTCATGAGCAATAAGAAAGCCTTTTGTTTTTAAATGTGGATTTCTATTTTATTTCTTAACTCTTATTTCCATTTCTACAACTTCTGTGTCATCTGCCTCTCCATCCAGATCATTAAGAGACGTATTGAAATACCCAGAAAAATCAGTAGCCTTATGCACAATTAAAAAAAATGTTTCACATCAGAATATTTCGGTAACTCTATTAGCCAGACCAGGCATATGAATGCTCATCAGGGCTGATTTCTAGCATCAAGTGCTCCAAGCTCCTGGTGTCTTCAGGTCTGAGCACTGTGCACAAGCTCAGTGATCAAGTGCTCTCTCTCTCTCCAGAAATATATGGTAAAATGCTCTGAGAAAGGGCTTGTATACAAGAGGTAATTAACTGAAAAGACAGTAGAAGAATAAGTTTTTCAGCAATAGCTTTCTGCTTGTACATTTTTGAAAGCATCTTTTTCTGATGTGGTTTGCTCCACTAAGGAAGTCTATTATTCTACACTGTTTAAAAGAGCCCCTATTATTATAATAAAAGTGTCCACAGAGAGTGACTTGGAAATTCAGATCATACTTTTGAGTGGAATAATCTCACCAGGCAGAGAAACCCCAAGTCTCTTCCTTTATTATCCAGCAATTAACAACATCACTAGGCAAGCCCTAGCACCTGTACTTGACAGAGCAGCCATGTTTCATTGCCCATGACAAGGTCACAGCAGAAAACGCTAAGTCCAGGGGCCTGAGTAGGAGCTGGACAGCTGAACTGTAGCTGTTACAAGCATTCAGCATCACTTTTATGTGCTACATACATTTACGCATTCAAAAACAGAGCAGTCCACACTGCTGCATACATTGAGAAAGCATCTGCTTGGATCCAGAAAAAATTTTTGAAAAAATATTTTTTTAAAAGATCATGTGGTGAATCTTCTTTTTATGGATTATCTTTGAGTCAAGGTATGAAGGGAAGCTTTCATACTTCCCACATTGCTCTAGCACTAAATTAGCAGCCTACTTACATTGCAAAACCACCAATAGTGCCACTTACCAGATAAATTGTCTCTTCTCCTCAACAAGAAATCATGCCACACTGATCATGAGGAGAAATCTTTTACAAGCACAGGCTTAGAACCAGCCTTCCCATCAAGCACTCTTTGCAGGACAATAAAAAATTCAACTCATTTTTAGATGATATTCACGTGTAAAGCCACCCTGTAATTTGACCATCCATTGATATTATGAACTTAGAACAGTGGGTTTCATTTCAAATCAGTGACCAGGTAAGGATTTGTTCCTTAGGGTATTTTACAAACACTTGCTACACAAATCAGTTCATTCTTACAGCCTGGACATTCCCAGAATACATTAGCATTCGAAACAGGATGCTTGCTAATGAACATAACACCGAAATCAGAGTGTACTTTGGTTAGTTTACAGTAAAGGATAATTACAGTGAGTTAGAGAACAATCTCCCAAGTCACTTGGGGAAGGAGGCAATTAGGAACCAGCAGGCCTGCCTTCACCCCTGAAAGCATAGCAGATTCTTTGCTTGAAAGGCAAAATAGCAAAGCGAGACAGTATTTAAGAGGCTGATATTAAAGTGATGTCAAATTAATGCCATGCATTTTGAAGCAGCTGCTGTGACCAGCTGCTCAGAGAGGGTACTGTTTTTCATGGCAAGAAAGAGGCTGTTTCTGATACAGAGGCACCACGAGATTTAAGGGCAGGTTGTGCTTTTCCTGCAGGTGTGTTATAAAGGTGGAAATGGAAATGACATGGATAGTTAGCAGGATTAGCACAGGGTTTGTATGTTGTTCAACAAGAACGTGGTAGAATTTGGACTATTTCTTTTCTTTCCTGAACTGCATATTACACGTATACTTAGCACAGAAAACCCACTCTCCTCCTGCCCACAAAAAAAACCACAACACAAAACCCAGAAAAACCCAAGAAAACCTCCCACAGTCTACACATTTATGATGTTTTGCACCTCAAATCTCATTTCACTCTGTCCCCTGTAATGTAAGTTTAAAACATCAGCATCATCAATATAAAATATTTGTTGTTTATACAGACTGGTTTTGTGTTTGTTTGTTGTTTCTTTTTAAAATTAACCACATTAAGCAACACTTGTAATGAAATAATATCTCGACACAGCACAGTCCACTGTATTATGGCGCATCACTACTTCTCCAATTTTTTCTTAGCATTTGTTACTACAAACAGCGTAGATTCACTTTGTGGAGTTATGTGGGGAACTCTGTTGGGCTCTTCTAAGGTGCCACACACATCTGTGTCACTTGGAAATGTCTTCATACATGTCAGACTCCTTGGTGCATGCAAGAAAAAGGCAACGAACAGTTACACAATTCTTAAACTGTATTGAAAATACAACTAAATAACATCACTCTGTCCAACCCCTTAGGCATTTCCTTCCAGTGACTGAATATATAACAACTACCAACCCAAAGGACACATGACTAGAAGTTAGTCTTCTGATAACAATATGTGCACATAGTAAAAAGACAACTAACACCGTGCCTGTGTAATTAATTCCTGCAACTCAAATGTTTTTATCCCCTCACAAAGCCATTTCTCAGTTAGGTGCTTCAGGGATATATATAGTTTTATAAAGGGTGGCATCAGCTAGAGAAACAGAGATTAAAGAACAGTTATTATGGGCTCTGTTTACCACAAAAGATCTCTCAGTCCTTTGTATTACAAAAGTTGTGCAAGGTCACATCTGCCTCAGTAATTAAACAGGAACTCAGCAGAGCCACAGAAAGCTATTTTTCCAAGCTTTGTGGAGATCTATCTTGAGCCTAGCAAGCCTCTGCAAATTAATTTCTCCATTTCACTCTTGCCAATATATTATCTCACTGTGTAATTTTAGGTGGCAAAAGACTCCAGAACTCATCAGTTACTTTGCCGAATCACTGAATTCATGTACTTACACATTATATTGGATCCTAGCCACATGACAAGTCCAAGATCACCGGAATCAGTGATTTAGCAAAAACAACTGAAAATGTCTGGTTAAACTGCATCTGGGATTACCATACAGAAAGAATACAAAATTTTACCTTTAAAGCTTCCTTCTAACTAAGTACAAACAGAGCTGCATTACTCAAACAGGTGGTAAGAACTTGCTAAACTCTTTCTTTTTTTTTGTTTTGTTTTTTTTTTGTTTTGCTGTTATAGCATGAACTAATACAAAGTTTACTCACCTAGGAAGAGCTCAATGCAGCGACCAGGGCTTTTTCACAAATACATTTTCTTTTCTGCATTTTACTGTTAACTCAAAACACAAAATAAACCCTGGTAGACCACAATACAAGGTAAAGGTCTTACTCTTTAATAAATAAAAAATAAAAAAAGCATTAAGATTTCACTTCCAACCCACTTCTTAACTCTAGGACTTGTACTGCAGCATAGCTTCCCTTCTACAGCCTTCTTCCAGGTGGACTCTCTCAGGAGACACCTGCTTCCCTCTCTTCCCCCACTCTGCCAGCTGGAGCTGGTAATCAAAGGGAAATTGCTCATCCGAGCACCATCATACCACAAAGCCCCTTTCTCTGAAAGCCACACCTTCCTTTTCTCTATTCAATCTAACTGTTCTCATAAGGGCAGGATCATCCTTGTGCTTTCTGAGATACTATAAAATGATGGAGCAATGCTTGGGCATGTCCTTTGTGATGCTACTG